TCAATTAAATTACATCACATATTTTCCAAATAAATAGATTTTCTAATCCTATATAAATAAGGTTGATTTTTTAATATTTTTAATATAAAAATATTATTATTTTTAGATAGATTAATCATTTGACATGTGGAAAATTTTAATTGAAAGAATTCTTTTAGACTTGTATATATATCTGATCAATTGACTCAAACATCACCTGCTAAGATTAATATAACATAGACGAATCAAATTTTGCAAAATAAGATAATTGTACTTTACTAATATTTTGCTGAAAAAGCCTATTGATATACCCTATATTTTACCACTTTTACTATCTATTTTACTATGATTTTTACATATATTCATAAAGTTTTTCGACCAAAAGAGGTAATTTTCTCGTATTTATAGATTTTAAGGTCTTAACAGGTTTTATCATCAAAAGGATGTAAAATAGAGCAAAAAGAGTGTTATCTATGATGTAGCTACTCATTCAAGTCAAAGAAACCAAGCCAAGTCGTTTTATCTTGAAGATAATGCATATTCTCAAAACTGGACAGAACGCATACGCCAGAATTTCGTTGATGAACGGAGGACCAAATGAATTGGGAATTTAATGAAACTTGGTATGGAGATAGATCTTTGAGTTAGATTTCCAATGGAGTTGGAATTTCATCAATAGGAGCTGTAATTTAGAAGATATATTGGAAACACTGAGGACATGTCAAACTGTCTTCGAAGTGAAGTGAGTGCACAAAGAAGCCAAGCACCGGGCCGCCCATGGGCCGATGATCCAGACCTTTTCCAAATTTCTAGAAGCACCAAGGAAGCCTCTAATACTGGTCACAAAGCCCGACCGTTATTGTGACCGGTATTGCCTCAGTTTCGACTAAAAAAACGTTTTTGCTCAAAGAAGCCCTAGCCGACTTAAGCCTCCTTAAATCCCTATATATACTTGCTTTTAGCCTCTCTAGGAACTTAAGTAGCCGGCCATAACAGCCTAAATCAATACCTAAACATGTATTTCTTTTTTTCTCTTGTTCTTAATGCATATTTGATTCTAAAAGCCTTTAAGGATAGATTGACTTTGYCCTATTGCGAAGAGATGAGATCTAACTCCTTACGCTTTGTAGATCAACGATTTATCTTTATGTTTATGTGCTTTAATTTTACTGCTACGTGTTGCAAAACATGTTAGAGTACTAGCTTTGATTTGAAATCTATGCACCTTCTTAATTCTATGCTTTTACATACTTAATCGATTAGAGTTTCATTCTAGAATTGATTCTTCAYCTTTATTTRYWCTYAAAGCACGADYTGGCTTAGCTACCCARGGGTTGATCTTAGGTTGATATACTCTCCAAAAGCTTGCTATATCTCCGGAGCTAGACATCTTAACAAATTCAATAGGTTAGTTAAGGAATCTAGTGAACAATCAATCTTAATCATAAARYATRTTTTCACCTTGTAATAACCTGCGATAGTTGAGTCTATTAGGGTGCAAAACGTAGATGGTTAGTTACGTCACGACAGTGGGATGAYCTTACATTAGTGATATGAGTTCTAGAACAACTAGTCTAAAAAYCCTAATTCGATTGCTTGTGTTTTGCATATGTTTTGTGAATTGCTTGAATTCTCATCTTAATTGATATCTATCCCTTTAATTATTGCTTGTTATTTGCTTCAATAAAAACCCTAAAAACCAAATAATATTTTTTCCTAGCTCAATTCGAATCAT